TTTTAATGAGTCTGTAGAAAATTCCAAGTCACATATATGGCTCATGTTACATTTCTACTGGAGAGTTCTGGTCTCTACTGTGTCTCCACTTCCCTCTCAAACCCATCCCAGGTAGGCTTGGGTCCCAGCACTTCACTAAAAACAGCTTTTGTCAAGTCACCTTCTTTCTGCTGGTCAGTTTTCACCCCTAACCACTCAGCTGCATTTGACACAATGTCACTTTCAATGAAGCACTTTCTTCTCTTGCCTCCAGGGAGGTCATGTTATCCTGATTTGTCTCTTTCCTCACTGACAATTCCCTCATAGGCTCCTTTTCTAAATCCTCCTGATCTTGTCGACTTCTTCTTTTTCATCCACACTCACTCCCTAGTGGAGCTCCTCCTGACTGATGCCTCTGAGTGCCGTCTCCGTGCATTTCCCACCTTTGTGTGTGCAGCCTCGACCTGCCTCCTCCTGCACCCTGTATCTTAACTGCCTGCTGGCATCTCCATTTAGATACTCAGGAGGACTGTTAAAGTTGACACACCTAAAACTGATGGCTTGGTTGCACTTCCCCAAGCCCGTTCCTCCCCCAGTATTTCCTGTATTGGTAAAGGCTAACTTTCTTCATCCTGTTATTTAAACCACAAATCTTGGAGTCATCCTTGACTTTTCTCTTCCTCTCACCAGCTATATGCAATCCATAGCACATTCTGCTGAGTCTCCCTTCAAATTGTATTTCCAATCTAACCGCTTCTCACCACCACTGGCCTCCTCCAAGACCTGTCTTCTCTGAGTGGACCTTTGCAGTAGCCTCATCACTGGTCTCTCCTCTTCCACCTTGTCCCTCTACTCCACCCCGGATGATCCTTTTAAAATGCCAAGTCACTTTTCTTCGTGGAACCTTTTAACAGCACATCATTCTTCTTAGAATAAAATGTGCCATCCTTATAAAAGCCATACATGACTTGCCCCCCCACCATCACCAGTACACACACAGACACATCCCTCCTACCTGCTCCCTGACCCCTTCCCCTGGTTTGCTTTTTTGCTTCTCCCCGCTCCTCCAGACATACTCTATCCTCAAAGCCTCTGTGTTCATGCTTCTCCCTGCCTGAAATGCGCTTCCTCATATGCTCACGTGGCTCATCGTCCACTTGGGTCTCTGGGCAAAGCTCATCTTGCCTACCATAGCCTTCCCTGACCACCATATCTAAAACAGCACCCCCATGACCCTTTGGAGGTTTATTTCCCCTTATAACATCACCACCTGAAGCATTATATCTTTGTTTGTTTCTTATCTTCCCTGTGAGATGGAGGCTCCATGAGAGCAAGGATGTTTTCTGTGCGTCCACATCTTTCGCCACAAGGGCCTCAAACAATGTTACATACAGAATTCAGTGTTGCCTGATTAGATGATTCTGCTAGCTTCTGCTCAGTTACCAGTTCCACACCCTTTAGGGCAGAAGTTCATTAACTCTGCTGGGAAGCTTGCCTAAAATGCATATACCTTGACGCCACCCCCTAGAGATCCAAACACAGTAGATTCTGGGGTAGAATCCAGAACATTTTGGAACAAGCTCCCCAGGTGATTTTGATGCCTGGGATAGCCGGACCACACATTGCCAAACGCTACCTCAGTGTAGCAGTTTATACTTGTTTATCTGTTGCTCTGCTCTGTTGAGTGTTGTTTCCTGTATATCAGCAGTTTTTGAATCACCTGGGAACCTAAAATAGCTCTCCTAGCCCTACCCTAGATCTTGTGAATCAGAACTTCCAGAGATGGGTCCTGGGAATGTATATTTTTGGAAAGCTCCCTTGGTACCTCTGGTACAGCCAGTCTTCCCCCTAGCCTTTGAGAGCCTCAGCTGTGTTTTACGCACTCCTGAAAGAGGTGATAAACTCAAGAGCAGGTATTTTTTATGTCTTTTTAGGCCAACTACTCTTCCCATCCCTCATTAATCCAACAGTGTTCTGTTCAAAAGTAGTATTGAGTAAGTCACTGTGCAGTGAATGCCTTCATTTATCCACAATTTCAACTTGCCTTTGTAACTTGAACATCAACCAGTATTTGTAACTGCATTTCATTCCAGCCCATTCTCTGATTAGAGGCAGGAGTTGTGTCATGGTTGCCTACCTCGTTCTGGTGGGTACTCTCTTTGCAGTCATTTCTATCCAGAATTTAAAATGTGTTTCCCAGGTCAGACCAGATAGCACTGGGGTAATGTTATCCATCATCATACGCAGATACTTAACCTGTTTAACCTTCCCCTTGGACATGTACAGGAGCATGTGTGCTTTGGCTGTCCTTGACCTCAGGGTACATCCACTGGTGGCCAGAGCATCCCCAGGGAGGGAGACAAGGCCTGATCCCTTGCTCTGGGAACCTGCCTGGGCTGCTCAAGCTCCCAAGGAGGGTCTCCCTACATTAGACTTCTTCTCAGGCCAGTGGTCTTGTCCTACTTCTGTTTGGTTTTGTCCTGGAACTATATGTAGACACTCTTCACCAGTGGAAAGATTTAAAACTAAAATCCTCAAAGTATTACCAAAAATAAAAAAATAAATGGGGGGTGGGGGGCCAAGGGGACAGGACAGGTGACCAGGGAATGACATTTGCAGAATTTTATCCCTTGGCCAGATTCAGAGCTAGCTTTAAGGTTGTGAAGAACTGTAGAGGAAGGCCCAAAGAGATCCTCTTGGTTAGCCTATTTCTTAAATACCTGAGTCCCCATGAGGTGCTCACTCTGGACTTTGGGTGGCCAACTGGTAGCCTTTTTGAATACGTTGGTATTCTTTGCAGAAGATGTCAGGGTCATTATTCAGCACAGAGTCTAAAAAGAAGTGTCATCTAGGTAACATTCTCAGCACACTCTGTTGCACCTTGGAGTTTTGCCTCTGGATAAGCCACGGTTTGCATTTTGCTGCCAGATGTGAGAAGCCATTAGTAATCAGGACAACTCCCTTGGGAAGTTCTGTTCCCAGGTGATAGCTGCTTCCTCTGGAATACTTGTTTGGAGGGCACCGGAGGCTGCGATTTAGTGACAAAGGGGAGTGAATTGACCCTAGAAAAGTAAGAATGAGAGATTTCTAATGAGATCTGACAGTTCAAGGGCTGAAGAAGGAGGCTAATCTTTTTTTTTCCCTGCCCACCCAGTCTTCATACAAATGTAAATATGCCTCCTTCAGCAAATTGCCAAATGTGGCTTTAATTTGTAAGCAGGAGACTCCGCCTTGCCTTTTTCTTTTCTTCTTTTCTTTTTTTTTTTGAAAGTGAAGTCACAGGTTTTGCACTTTTTGAACTGGACATTTCCTTCTGTCACTCCGTCACTTTTTCTATTGTCCTTTTTTATCCAAGGACATTTTCCCCCATTGTTTGTTAGCAGAGGAATTTAGGATGAGAGTCGATTGTCCTATTTCTTAAAGAAGTTCTTGAAGTTCCCATAGGAAAGGCATAGTGCCCTTTAAACGAAGTTTTAAAAATAAATAAATAAAGGCAGTGATTGAATCTAACATGAGATTTGAAGGGTGTCACTATCACGGCATCATACTTTATGTGGTCTCCACAGTATCCATTGTTGTTATTTATGACCCTGTCTGCCTTCCATTGTGGACTTCTTCCAGCCTTGGGGAATTTACATCATTCCTAATAGCAAAAGGCTTTCTGGTTCCCACAGAGTTGTTCAAAGCCTGACTCATGCTCCTTATGTTAATTGTTCAGCTCTGAAAATATAGCACTTACAGGGTGTGGTTGTAAGGGGAAAATCTACTGTACTTACAGGGCATGTTTAGAAGTGTTTCACACATAAATCTCAATCTCTCTCTCATTTAACCTTTAAAATGTAGCTCTTTTTGATCAACTAGTGAGTCTTGGGGAAAAGAATGGAGAGGCATCAAAATGCAGTATAATCCAATAAAATCTATACTATTCTGTTCACTAACTCTTAAAACTGACCTGGGTTATAACTGGATATGACTTTGAATGATGTTGGTCCAGGTGTGAAACCACAGTCAGGGTTAGCGAGAGCTAAAGGCTGGTACTAAGTGGTACAGGGCAGTAATTGGACAAAGCTAACGTCATCCCGTGGGACACCAGGCATCATACTGATGGCTTCCGTCTGCCAGGCTCTCTGGGGCTGTCATTGCTAATTCCAGTGTAAGTCTGAAGCAAGGACCTACTGATAGTTTACTAAAGCTGTTCCTTGTATGAGCAACATTACACTATGGAATTTGATGGAAAAGGGTACTCAGTGTCCAGGAAATGAGAGAAATTAACACCTTGTCTGGATTATCTACTTGCTAACGAAAAGGAAACGATTCCAAAAGTACGAAATGGGTCAGTGTTGGCAAAGGTTGGGTGGTTTTTACATTTTATAATTACTTCCTTATGAAGCTTCCATGGGAACATATAAGGATAGATAGATAATCTATGAATTACATAAAACCATAGTAATGCTCTTAGTTTAAGAAAAAGACTTTTTTTTAGTAGCCAAGAATCACAAACTCCAGTTTTCAAAGTATCAGTATTAAAAGCTTTAACTCTTGATTCAGTCTTGAGTATTCAGAGGCCATATTCTGTGTCTTTGTAAATAGACAAAATGTGGGGAATGCTTAGGATAATCAGGGTACAGACCACTGCACCACCCGGTCCTTCTGGAAGATCAAAGCTCACAGACATTCTGCTGCCTGGCACAGCGATTCTGGGCTTCGTCACAGTTTGGGCCACAGAGATACCAGATATTGGCCAAGAGTTCCCAGATGGTTTGGAACCAACATCCTTTCCATTACAGTCTTGTATGTTTGTGGCGCATATGATGTATGAAGTGTTGGGCAAGGAATATAAGAGAAGTGACAATTTACCAAAAACTTCTCGATTTGAAAAAATTAAAATAGCCTAATACTAAGCAACTTCATCTAGTCTTCACAAAAATAAATCTGTTCACTCTGGCATTCAGAGTATAACTGTGTTTTCTCATGCTCAGCTAGTCGATTTCTGGTTGAACCCCTGTTATCTTTTGGAGTAGACGGAAAGAGCTCTCCATGGAGCGTCTGATTATTTTGCTGAGTGTGCGGAGAGTCCACTTCCTCCCGGCGCAAAGCTCAAGAGAAATGCTCTGAAAGAAATGTAGGTCCAGTGTGTTTCCTTCTTTTCATTTTTGACTGTCTGTCTGTATGGACCCATAACATGAAGTCTAGAATTCAACAAGAGTGCACGGAACCTAATCACCCCCCTCCCCGCCCCCCGGCACTGCCCCTGCACTAAGACGCATACTTGCTCTTCCACCTTCCTGACTTGCTTTCTCTTGCTTTCTGGACAATGGGGAGCGAGTCCTTGCTTCACAGGTGTGTTGCAAGGAGTAATTAATTACAAGCGCTTTGAAGATGAAAAGCACCTGTTGGTGGTGTGGTTTATACAGCTTTCAGAGTGACTACCGACAGATCTGAAAAAATGTGTTCTTTTCCTAAGATGCTTGTTCTGACCCTAATATAATTACGATAATCCTCATGCCCCTCATAGCAAGAGTAAGAACATGAATATATATATATTTGTTTCCAGACTAAAGCTCAGCCAAAATAAATATTTCAGCTTCAGTGTTTTGAGTTTGGTGGTTTAAGAAATTTCTTGCCAATCACAAGCCTTATAAGTATACGCTGAAGTCAAAGTCTAGTCTCTAAATTCGCACTATGCAACTTCTCTCCTGCCCCTCAAAGTGAATTTTATAATCAGAGTGAAGTTTGCATTGTCTGTTGTATGTGCTGTAGAAAAGGGGTTTGTGTGTGTGTGCGTGTGTGTATAAGCACGTTCTTTTTTTTTTAAGATTGGCACCTGAGCTAACATCTGTTGCCAATCTTCTTTTTTTTTTCTTTTTCTCCCCAAAGCCCCACAGTACATAGTTGTATATTTTAGTTGTGGGTCCTTCTGGTTGTGGCATGTGGGACACTGCCTCAGTATGGCTTGATGAGCAGTGCCATGTCCCCACCCAGGATCTGAACCAGCGAAACCCTGGGCCGCTGAAGCGGAGCGTGTGAACTTAACCACTCAGCCACGGGGCCGGCCCCGTGGTTAAGCATGTTCTTGTACACACACACACATCATGTGCTTTGGATGTATTTGAGCATTTACTTCTGGGAAAAAAATCAATATATCAAAGGTAGGCAATATGGACCCTTAACATCTGAAGTACCTATCTGCCTTAGTTAAAATATGAACTCCATCATCATTATCTTTGATAACCCAGTGATCAATAAACAAAGTGTATCCTAGTGTATTAGAAAATGTGAAAGCTATTACTTGAGCCAGTCTGCATTTAAACATACACTTGGGGATTTTTCTAGATTTGCCAGAGGGGTAGGAAGAAGGGAGGGTAGCACGTTCTCCTTTTTCAGGTAGAGGAAATGTAGCAAAGGGAATTTGGAAGAAACCGTGTCAAAACAAAAAAATCTCTCTTTGTTTTAGCGTGAAAAGAACTGAAACAAAAAGCGTCGTGAGCAAATCACAGAGCAGCAGGGACGTTGTGGGAACATCTAGTGACTCAGTGATTGCAGAGATAGCAAGGAGGAGGGGTGACAGTCAGCCTTCATCCAGTCCCCCATCCAAGTCCACGGGACAAGCAAAGGATTACATAAAGGCAGCTGAGAGCCACTGGGGTCTTCCTGTTCAAAAGCTGGAAAATGTTCATCAGACCCAGCCAGAGGACACTAGCAGCCAGCAAAAACCTCATCCTGGGGAGCGGTTAGAGACAGGGCTTCTAAGCAGGAGCCCTGCCTGTAGCTGTGAGTCAGCATCACCAGGTCCAAGACAAAGTCCACAAGGGGCCGGAACACGACAGACACGCAGGAACTGCGGCTCTGTGGAAGACTTCGACCACCACAAGAGAGTTTCTCTTGGAAGTGATCAATTAGTCTCGAGAGAAATCATCATGGAAAGAGGCAAAGCTGTCAGCGTCTTGCCAACTTTGGAGCTGTCAGATCCAGGGTTACTTCTGAAACAAGATCTGGCAAAAACCACATCTAATGAAGAGTTGCATGTTTTGGAAAATCTCTCCTCCAGACATCTTATGAAAAGTAAGCCAGGGCAGGCACAGCAGACCGGCTCGGCCACAAACACTGGAAGATTATCTACAGTTCAGGGCAGCCCAGCCGAGAAAAGAAAGAAACGAAAGAGGCCGTTGACTTACTAAGGGGAATCTCAAAGTTATAGTCGAAGAGCTAGTGGCCAAACCTGTGAAAAATGAGCGGTGTACATGGATGCTGTGATTTTAAAGGAATTGGGATGATTGTTTTAAATAGAAATTATGTATCCACATTAGGGTTAGCTTTCAAAGCAGTCACTTCCAGGAGCCTATATGCCTGTTCTAACAACATTGCTCCTTTCTCATCATATTTTAAACTGTCTTCAGAAAATTATGTTAGTGATAAACAGCCATTCACCTTGTCAGGGATGGCACCATTCCTGAAAAAACTGAATGAAGAAACCATTCATGTGTCTCCTTGACACACCACCATACAGACCATGCGATGACTTCATAGAGATGGTGTCCCGGTGCTGCTGTTCACTTCTGGGGGTACAATTTATGCCCCTGCTCCTCAGCCTGAGGAGGACAGCAGTGAAGGAACAGGCTAGTGGTTCTCACCATCTGGTCCTGGCCCCAGCGTCATTCTCTGAAAACATGTTAGAAAGGCAGATCTTGAGCACCGCCCCAAGACCTACAGAATGAGAAACTGTGGGTGATTCCAGAAACACGCTCCAGTTTAAGAACAACTGGACTGATTGGAGGCTCTCTCGTGTTTATTTCCTCCAGCCTGGCTACGATGGCCGGCCTCCAGCTCATTAGCTGGGGCCCACACGTGGACACGCACACCATCATGCTCCCTCAAACTTGTAAAGAACCACTGTAGGAGTCACTGTGTCCCCAGGTTCTTAAGAATGGCAGCCATGGCACCCAGGAGCTGTTAATTACCCTAAGAATTGCGTGACATTTATATATAATTCAGCCCAGTATTAGGGGAAGACATGGAAGAGGCTTGTTCTTGCTTGCAGCTCAGGCATAGCCCTGACCTTGCCTCCACCTCTAAGATTTTGGTTAGGTTCGGAACAGACCAGAACCCAAGGGGAACTCAGTGGCCAGAGTTTCCAGTTTCCCCCATTTGAAGGCTTCACAGGCAGTTTAAATTTCAGAACAGGAGCCTTCCATTTGCAGTATCACCCACTAATGTCTCCAGTGAGCTTGCTGAAATGTCACATAGTGAATCACAGCAATGACTTATTTTGGATGGACACCTACTAAAGATTTTCTTAACCTAGTTTCATCCTAAAATAGGGGAAAACTCATATTCAAAGGCCACCCATCAAATATATCTTTTTTTCTGCCTAACTTTGGGTGGTCCATTGAAGTAGTACCTCCCTAGTAACAAGGAAAATCAAGTCTATTCCCAAAAGTGTTGGAGTTAGCAGAAAAATAACCCAGAAATAGCCCGATGAAATTAAAAAAATATGGAAACAGATAGAGGATAGGTTCATGCTTAGAACTAGTTAGTGGTTTCTCTCAGCTCACTTTGTCCTCCCCCAAGTCTCCTTTCCCCACTCATAGTGTAAGGTAAGAGTCAGTAAGAGGCAGCCGTGTTTCATGGTGCCATTTTGGGTCATGAAGTTCAGTCTTGGTCACCATGCCTGGCCATGGAGGTAGAAGCTATTCCTTTGATTTTCCAAACTGCCTGGAAACCTCTCCTCTTTCTGTGGTCCTAGCCTCACCACCCCCTCCAGGATCATGGCCCTGTCCACTGATGTCCGTTCCTCTTTCCTCCTAGCTTTTTCCTGCCCCAAGCTGGTTCCAATCAAAGGATTCAGTAGGAGAAGAGGAACCCCAACAGAATACTAACCACAGTGCTCATCCAGTAGGGGTAGACTGCACAGAATGGAAAACTCCTGAGAAAGTGGTAGAACATCGATTTCCCTGGTCCATCATCATGGCCCCCACTCTTAGAGACGAGTATCCTAGATGTGCCCTTCACTGAAGACAGGACCACAGTGTGTCATCGAATCTTCTTAAACAAACAAGTTTTGGAACAGTTTAAATAGAGAGGACAAATTATAACCCAGGTAATAGGCCAAGAAATATAAACTCTCTGGAAAATAGTCCAGAATAAAAAAGACAGTCATTGCAGAACAATAGCTGCTGCCCGCCCCAGAACTCGAAGGAGATGTTTGAACTGGAGGCACCAAAGAAAGTTTTTATTTCATTAGTTAACCTGGGCCTGGTGGTTAGAGCCAATGCTTGTACTTTTAATGACTTTCTTTCAAGAAAAGTCTTGGCTTTCAAGTTTGGCTTTTTTGTGGAAGTAATAATTACTGTGATCTAAGAGAGAAAATAGCATCTTTGACTGTAGATTGATAGGGTATTTCTCACCGCCGTCATGTACATGGGATTTTAAAAGGATTAACGGAGGGAACAGCTCTCCGCTTCCACACTGTGGCATGTGTTCGAGGAATTTTGACATAAGCATTTTCCTCCCACATGTCTGAAACACCCCTGGATCTCTTGTTACTTGAGTGGTTGTGTGATGCTTTGGATATTTGGACGTAAAAGGGAAAAATGGCTGCCAGGTTTTTTTGTTGCTTATTAGGTGGGAAATGAAGACTTCTCTACTGCTGGAAGTGGTATGTGTTTTGAAATTCTTAATAATTCAGTATCTGAAAAGCTGAGACCCTGTCAATATTCTTAGTCAAAAAGAATAAGTTCTTCAGCCACTTACTTAATAACCCCAATTAAATGGTACTCACGTCCCTGGAGCTCTGATGCGTGAAGAAATGTGGATCCAATTCGATTAATGTTATAACTTTGAACTCTCCAACTTTTTCAGTGTCATGGCTTCTAAGTCACCTCCACATGCTTTCAAATGACTTTTTGGTAGATAGGTAGATTTGGTAGATTGGTGTTGGGTTTTTGGGTTTTTGTTAATGTCTGTAAACAACAAATATCTGATAACAGTCAGTGTGATTTTTCTTTTCTTTGCCACTGGACAGTAACTGCCATCCAGATACGCATGTAAATTGCTAAACGCAAAGGAGCAAACGTTTAGGGAGAGAGGAGTGCTACAGCTTTTTTGTTCATTTATTTTAATATTAAAGAAGAAGGAAAATGTATTTGATTTTATAAAAAAGAATCATAGAAACTCTCTGTATTTTGATTTGTGGAGAATATAGCTTCTCTCTCAATGAGGTATCTCAAGAAATATCTTGGGGACAACAAGAGGATCACTGTTAATTTGCTTTTGGTGTCATGTTTGGGTTTTAGCTTGAATTATTGTGCATATCAGTGGCCTTTGATTTCAGAAAGAGCTTGGTGAGGGCAGAGCACAGAAGGGAAGGAAACCTCTGTGCCCAAAAGAATGGCCTCGGGTCACAGTGTCGCCATTCCCAATTTGCTTCAATTCCTTCTTGTCAGGCCCCACTGTAATAATACAAAATTCGAGTGAGTGGCCCTCCTTTTGAGGTAACAAGTGGCTTTCCTAAGAGCCACGGGTTCTCTTTTCATCATGCTATGACTTGAATATGGAAATCATTTTCATTTCTTCTTTTCTCTTATGAGGAAATTTCCATTCTTGATTTGTCAAAACGAAAGAGTTCATTCCTTGTTATTGAAACACTAATGAATTGAAACACGTTGGAGCAAGTAAAATATCAAAATTAAGCTGATTTCTGTTAAATAGTTTAAAGCCTTCCCTTAGTACAGAATGAAGTTACTTCAGATAATTACTCAGGACAGAAGTCTAACCATATATATCATTGGTATTACAATTTAATGATACGATTAAATTCTTAGAAGTCTGAGGAACTCATGTAATTTTGTTTCTATATTTAACAAGACAACGAACAAACTTATGACAACGTGTAGCTTAACAGAGGGGACTCAAGTGGGTCAAATTATTGCTTTTGTCAAGAACTACTCAGTCCTGGGCTTGAATTTAATCACATTCAAATAAGCTTTATTATGTCCCATAATATTACCGTGTGTTACCTTATAATTGCCATTACAGTTATTCATCAAAAATCTTCATTCTTTAATTAAACAAAAACCAGTAAAACCATACATTTGACCGTAAAGCATCTGATCCGGTGACTGAGGATGTGGATTTGACAGACCCCCACAATACCTTTCTTCAGTCAAGTGAGAAAGCCTAACACTGTGATAATCACCAGGAGAGCTCTTGTTTCCATTGGCCTGTCTTCTCATTTGTTTCATTTAAACTATGTAAATAGTTGTACATGCCAAGGGGGTGAAAGTAGTATGTAGTGGAAGTGAAACTGTTTTATGAATAAAAAGTAAAATTGTTTTAAAAAATTAAATTGGTGTCTGTCCCTTTTCTTCAAAACAAGTGAACTGACCCTAAGGAATATACATCCAAAATGCCCTTTTCTGAACATACTATTTAAAATTATATTCTATTTGCTAGAGACTTTTCTCATCCTTGAAGCAATTCTGAGAAATGCCTCATTAGGCGATTTCGTCATTGTGCGAACATCACAGAGTGTACGTACACAAACCTAGGTGGTATAGCCCTACTACACCCCTGGACTGTATGGTACTAATTTTATGGGACCACCGTCGTATATGCGGTCTGTCGTTGACCAAAACCTCATCATGCAGAGCATGACTGTAAGCAAAGGAGCTCTGTATTTGAACCATTGGCCTTAAAGATTTAGGTTTGGAAAACCCTGCGTGAGATGCTGTGATTAAATTGGTCCGTAAGATTTTGGGGTGGTCTTCACAAGGCAGATGCGTTCCCACTTCTGTTCTCAATTGTGAGCTAAGATAGACCCCTCTTGTGAGGGGTTAAAGTATGCGAACTTGACTCCTTTCCAGAGAATCTTGACATCTCCCAAGTGGATTCATTTCCATTTTCTAAGTGGATCTAGCCTTTGTTCAGCACTGAATAAAGTCCTAGGCGCACATTTTCTCTACATTGCTTTTTATGACAGGATCCCAGCCTCTCTAGTTGCTTATAAATATAGTTTACCTTTGGATCCTCCACATAATTTTTCAGAAGCGTTTCAATATCAGGTTGGAATAATGTATTTGAATAGCTGTTCGTGAAGTGCTGAGAACCACTGTAATCAATGAAGCAGAGCGCATCTCTTCTTAGTGTTTTGGTCGTGGCAGCATACCATATGGCCTCGTCCACAGGAAGGATGCCCTGCCCTGGACCTGGGGCCTGGACTGGGGATCTGGAGACCGCATGATGGCATGGTGCTGCAAGCCACAAATCCTCTGTCCAGGCTGCTGCTTTGCCACTAATTGGCTTGTGTGTTTTAGGACAAGTCACTTAATGTCCCGGGCCTCAGTTTCTTCATTTGTCAGATAAAATTATCTCTAATATTTTAAGTGCCACACTTGGCTCTGTAGAGTCCTGAGGTAAACATACCACTCCTGTGTGTTAATTTCTCCATCCATTTCAAAACAGGTTCTTGACACTGGCCACATATTGGAATTACCTGGGTTGCTTCTAATTAAATTAGAATCCTGGAAATTTGGCCTGGATATTGGCAGTTTTAAAGTTCCTCAAATAACGATTCTCGTGAGAAGCCATAGTTAAGATCTATTGTTTAAAAATATGGGGTGGGGGAATTTAAGTACTGGATGCTAAAAGAGGCAAGGTCTGCTAAGAGCTGAGTATCCTTTAGAACAGGGGCTTTGTACCCCCTTTCAAATGAATGGAAAAGGCTGTGGTGACAAGGTGTCAATAGGAGGGCATGTTAATCATACAAAGAGATGTTTTTTTTCTCCTCGAGGCCCCTGGACATCAGTAATGCTGCTTTAGACCCCACACGTCAGAGCACAGCTTCATCTTCGCCAGCACGGAGACATTGTTACCCTCAGACAGAAGATGAGTTTTTAAAGCACCTAAATAATTGTCTGGGGCTTGCCTTTGATCCATGATCATTAATACCATTAATAAGCTCTCAAAAAGTGCGTGTGAATCTCGAGTTCACATTTGGCAGGGCAGTGGAAGAATGAACGCTTTTAAAATAGTTTGGCTCAGAAAGCGCATCTGAAATAACCCTGTGGGAAAATCAGGAGAATTTCTCATCCTCCGAAGGATTACCTAGGCTGAGATGCTGACCTCGTGTTTTCAGTTCAGTTACATTTCTTCAGACCTCATCTATTACCCAGCCTGATTTATTTTCGGGGGTGAGTAGGCTGTGGGAGGGGACTCTGGTGACGGACAGTTCTCATGTTTGCCTTTTGTCTTCTCCACAGTTCCCCAAAGATCATAACATATATATATTTCTTAAAAAAAAGACCAGCTTCTTCATGAGATTTACTGCAGCTTTTCTCTCAGAAATTAGAGCTGAAGAATTCTCTCCTCTTCAAGCTTGTGAGGCGACGAAGCCCCAGAAGGCCGGGTGTGCGCGGGGTGAGCAGAGCGCTGACCTCCATCGGGGGAGAGGTCAGATCAGCACACAAGACTCAAAAGGGAGGAAGAAAAAGCAACTCCTCAGCGGGGAGTTTGACTTGCTTTAGGGCAGAAGAGCTTTTATAAATAAGTTCCCAGTCTCCCACGCCCTCTCGCAGGCTCTTCTGTTACTAGTCCTGTCTCTGTGCTTAGACACACACGCACCAACACACACACACACTCACGGACATAGACACAGCTCTTCACTCACTGCCTCTCATCCTTCTCTCCACCTGCCCCTCGAACTGTGGGATGGACTGGCAGACCCTTCACCGGAGGACGCAGGTGATGGATTGACTGGGAATTTTTCTAGGCCCAGTGGCTCTTAAGGCCTTTTCAGTCCCTCCTTAACATGCTCAGCTGGTGAGAAGAATGCAGAGGGCTCTTTCCCAAACCCACTGTGGGTGCCTGGGAGGATTAATATGAGCCCATCCATTCCTGTTGTCAGAGGGAGAAGGTGAAATGGTAAATTAGGGCGACCTCCAGCCTTGATGTGGCAGACTGGGCTGGGCGTTTGGGATATGTCCCAGTAGGAGGAGCCTGAAAGGACCTTCCTGTAATGATGCCAGAGTGAACTGGGGCTTGTGAAACAGCAGCACTGCTTTGATTTGTATATTCCCCTTAAAACGCTTCCCTGGTGAGCCTTTTCCCAGTGCCTTCTGCTCGGCTTGGTGACCACCCAGAGCAGCGTGGAGACTGCGTGGGCAGAGGCTGGGGCCCCTAGAAAAGCAGCCACAGGTGGCTCTCCAGTAAAAAGTGCCCCGTCAGTCTGAAAGCACTTCTGGGTGGAAGAACTCTCTGTGTTAGAGATGCAGGGGATCTGCTGTTGGGGCTCTTGTTTTGATGCTGATATTCTCCAGCTGGAAGAACCTTCTGGATCACACGTAAAATCTCTACAGGCTCAGAGTCAAGCAGACTGTCCATCCATCTGAATTTTCTACATCGAATTGGCCTTCCTTTCCCTTGAAGATAGTATTTCTCGGTACAGGTTTATCAAATTGTGTGTTCTGAGTCTCAGTTGTGGAAATGATTTTGGTGGCTGTTCCACATGTTTGTAAGGTCTAATTCCAGGTCTTGGTAATATTGTAGAAAAGCTCACTGAACTTGAGAGAAACCTGAACTTTCTGCCACCAGCTGTGCATGTCCACCTAGGCCAGCTGCCCAACATGTGAGGCAAACATAGGGAGAGGAGATGGTGGGAGAGACGACGGGGCTCTGTATTTAGAGGAAGCGGCCACTGTGCAGTGAGGACAGAGAAGAGAGAACTTCCTTGTAGGGAAAGGCTGGGGCGGGGGGCACATAGCAAAGTATTTCTGAGATGTCTCATCTACTGAAAACCTCATCAAGAAAACAGGAGTCAAGGGGGCCTGCCCTGTGGCGCAGCAGTTAAGTTTGCACGTTCCGCTTCGGCAGCCCGGGATTCACCGTTTTGGATCCTGGGTGCGAACCTATGCGCCGCTTGTCGAGCCATGCTGTGGCAGGCGTCCCACATATAAAGTAGAGGAAGATGGGCACGGATGTTAGCTCAGGGCCAGTCTTCCTCGACAAAAAAGAGGAGGATCGGCAGCAGATGTTAGCTCAGGGATAATCTTCCTCAAAAAAAAAAAAGAAAACAGGAGTCAAACATCACATTTCATAAGGAGAGAAAACTGGCCCAGGAGTTTGTGTCCTGGAGTCCTCCAAGGCCAGCACCTGAGCTTACCTCATTTGGCCCTAGTTTTATAAAACCAGGGGCGAGGGGGAGGGGATATAGAAGAAATAACTATGTTATTATTATTTAGAGGCTTTGGAGAGTTATCTGTAGTGGCAGACCATGCACTATTGTAGAATTTAACTGGGCACCAAGTATTTTGTGGTCCTGTAGTTTGTGCTTACCTTGAATGAGCTTTTCCTTCTGCTACGCAGGTAATAGGCACTGACTTGACTGGGGAGAGCTGACAATTTGTATAGTCAAAACCAAATATAGCACCTACAGGTGACAGGGTCTGGTACGACTCCCTTTACGGGGCCTGTATTAGTTTGCTGTTGCTGTGTAACAAATTGCCATCAACTTAGCAGCTTAAAACAACACAAACTGACTGTCTCATTCTTTCTGACACCTTTTAGCTGGGTCCTCTGCTCTGGGGTCTCATAAAGCTGGAATCAAGATGTCAGCTGGACCCTGTCCTCATCTAGAGGCTCAACCAGCAAAAGATCCACTTAGCTCCCTCAGGTTGTTGGCACAATTTTTTCCTTGCAGTTGGGAGCCTAAGGGTCCCATTGTTCTGCTGGTGGTTGAGTGGGGGGCGGGGAGGTGGGGGGAGAGTGGAGGTGTGGGGCAGGAAGGTGGCTCAGCTACCAGAGGCTGTTCTCAGGCCCTTGCCATGTGGCCCCTTTATGTCAATGGAGAAATCTCCCTTGTGCTGAATCTCTTTCACAGTTTTGAGCCTCTCTGCCCTCTCCTTCTGTGACCAGGCAGAGAAGACTCTCTGTTTTTAAGAGCTCCTGTGATTAGGTCAGCCCTAATTGGGTAATCTTCATATTTTAAAGCCAACTGATTTGGGACTTTATTTAGGCCTTCAAAATCCCCTCACAGCAGTACCTGGGTTAGTGTTTGATCAAATAACCAGAGGCCAGGAATCTTTGGTGGCCTTCCTGAGACCGCGTCTACCGTTAGATCCAACGGCCCTTAGCTCTTCTCTGAGGGGGGCCCAGTTTGATGGTGAGAACAGACACTGTCGTCAGAATCCAGCTGGATTCCTTATCTTTTAATGGACTCTGTATTGTGTCACGGGATGCTTAGAGAAATACAGAGAAAAGCGTTCTTTCTTCTTCCTGCAGCCCTGTTCATGAATAGTAACAGTGGCAAACATTTATTAGCACCATTTCACAGATAAGGAAACCGAGACGAAA